ATCACAGCTACAGACAGTCCTACAAAGGAGGGGCATGGAAGGTTGAATCCCAACTAGCAACGTTTGTTAGCTGTCAGCTGAGGAGTGATGAACAACAGCTGCCTTTGTGAGTTATTAAAGCAAAACGAGACAAATAACCCTTCGAAAGGGTCAATATCATCTGAACAAAGTCAGAAAAACTGCACAACACAGACACACTGAAATGACAAAAAGTTAACTGAAGGCAAACTGAAGTTGGCAAATGCAACCTTAATAATTAGCTTGTAACTAACTATGACCGACCTTTGTAAAAAAAATTTGCAGCAGTAATTTAGTGACTTAAAACATTAAGTATCTAGCGGGCATCTCAGAAGAGGAAATAAGTCCTAACTGGCCAAAAACAAAACTCAAAATAAGTTGTTAAGAAGACGTGTTAAAGGTTCAGTGTGTAGGATTTAGGAAGATGTATTGGCAGAAATGGAATATAATATTCAGAATTATGTTTTTATTAGTCCATAATCACCTAATACAAAGAATTATCTTCATACCTACAGAGATAAGATAGCTTAGTTACCTAGAACTGTAGCCTAGTTTTCTAGAAGGAGGTGAAGTTAAACTTTGTCTCGTTTTATACAGAGGTCAGAGGATCCGCTGTGTTCCACTCAGTTTGGTGTGTCAGCACTTGGCGGATTGTCATCATGATTTCATTATTATTAGGAGTCTGACATCAGTGTGATCTCTTGCTACTGCAGGCATCACAACAGACCCTCCACCAATTACTGTTGGCTTGGCTCATCTGTTGCCGGGGGAACGCACCCGCAGAGAAAGGGGAGCTCATTTACGCAGGTAATCTATGGACAGAAAGCAACAAACACACTCACACGCTCAGTGATGCACATTGTTAGACAGGAGCCCCCCCCACACACACACACACACCCTTTCTCTCAGACAATATGCAAAACACATGCAGAGAGCATCTTCCCTTCATCCTCAACCAAACACCCGCATTTTACTCTTCACAATATCTGCTGCTCTCGTCTTTTCTCACTCCCCTTCCCCTCTTTTGCTCCTTCCGTCATCTATAAACTCCAAGCATATCATTTGCTTTCCCCCTCTATGTCCTTCACTCTCTCCATCTTCCATCTTTTGCTCCTTTCCTCTATCTTTCCTCTCCCATCCAATCCCTCTCTCCCCCTCCGTTCTTGCCCCAGCAAGCTGCAGATGGTGCTTAATGGACGCATAACGGAGCGTAACTGCCTCGTGAATAATTCCACAGGCACAAGGTGAGCCATAGGACAGCTCCATATGTGGACACACAAGAAAGGTAAGAGCACGCGCACACACACAAGCTACAGTATGTAGCTAACACACACTTTATATCTACACATCCAAACTTTATAAGGGTATCATCACTTTCAACAATTGTATTTCCATCACGATTTATCACTTTCTTTTATTGAAAAATACAAATCCAGCCACAATATCTCAATGGATCGAGATTCTTGACTCCAGGATTTTTAAGACCATTGCTGTGTTTTTTTGGCTTTTCCGCTCATGCTCATTGGGTCCCATGAAAGAAGCGCTTGTACGAGCAGATTCGTTCTTAGGTGACTGATTAAAGAGAGTTTGTAGCATTGAATAACTTTCTCGTTATTAAAGATCTTCAGATTATTTTTAGCGACTAATGCATAGACTTTATGCATTTGCCTTTATATCTGTGACTGTCACAGTGCAGCTCGGCACTGATGAAATGTCATTAACAGCTGAACTATTAACATATTCTAATTGTTCTGGGTCCTCTAGCACCACAAACAAAGCTACAGCTTGTTATCTTTTTGTCCACTGAGATTTGACGGCAGGGCTTGAAGCTCAGCAGTGTGAAATCCTTCTACCTCTTTGGTGACAATTATGCGAATGAAACCCGCTTAAAGAGTGGAACAGGTAGCTTTATACGGCAATTTTAGGGACATCAATTATGCAAATGATCAAATCTCACGAACACTCACCTCACAGGTGACACTCATCAAGTTAACAATTTATGACAAGTTTGTGCAGTTCAGTAAGTTTGGTGAATCTGAGCTTCAACACTTGTGCAATTAAACCTCACAGAAAAAAGACAGTTAGAAATATGGAAATGTTCTTGCAAGAGGCTCAGTGTCTTGCTAGAAAACAAATCTTCTCCCAAGTGGCATTTTTCTTTCAGACTGCATCAGATTTTCCTCCAGGATGTCCCTGTATTTTACTGCTTTCCCTGTACCCTTCCTGCTGCAGAGAAGCATCATGCTGCAGAAATATCTCCCCGGCATGATGGCCAAAATGCTCAATACTGGTCTTAACGACCACAGAACTTCTGCTAGAGAGTATGGAAAACTGTAGGCCAAATATCAGGAGTTTTTAAGTAAGTACACATGAAACACGCTGTCTGATTTCCATTTGGTTCACTGTAATTAAAAATGACAGGTTTGGGCTCTCTCACATGCCAAGATATGCAGCAGATGTTTTCACCATTGAACTAGTTACCGCAATATCCCTAACTCTCAAAATTGCACCTTCTGAGATTTGCTGAGTGAACAGAATTTGCCAAAACATTGTGCATTAAGTTTTTACTTTCATTGTGTAAAAAACATTGTATCCGTTGCGTCACCGGTTAAAAACAACAGCGCATCTGGTCTTTCCAACAGATGTGTGTGTAAAACCACCAGTGATTATTTAAGTGTGTCCCGTTAAATGTATTTTAAATTTCGCATTGGTAACAGATTAAATGAACTTTGTAGAGATCAGGTTTCACTTTGACATTAAAAAGGGTCATTTTCTGTTATTCTGTTAAACAATAAAACATGGAAACTTCAAAGGAGGGTGAACATATTTCATATAATATTTAAATATTGAGAAAATTGAACTTACATTTTTAATAACCATTGGGACAACTTGTACTTTTCTTGTCGCTACAGACAAAAGGATTTATAGTAGAGGCTAACAGCCATGGGTGCTGTGAACGCAGGCCCACACAGTGGAAAACCTCTTAAGCCTCATGTGGTTTGATTTATTAAATGGTAGATACTGAATATTTCAAGGTTGTCCTGGTTAGTGTAATATAATGTGCAGCGGGAATATACGTGGACCAGCAGTTTGAGGTGGATCTAATTTATGGCCAGACTCTCTCTATACTATCAACAGCGGATCATAAGGGAAGGGATGAATGAAACGAAGTTGGTAACATTTTACTTGAAGTGGACTCTTAGGCATGATAGGCACATCATAACCATTACTAGTATTTATTGCTCATCATACACATACCTGCTGAATGTGTAAAACTTCAGGGACACTGGCTGTTTTTATGAAGCCCACTGATGAGGTGACCCCAGGAATGACATCATCCCTTATGGATTTTACTTATTAAATCTCTACCAAATGTATGTATGAACAGGAGATGAAGAGAAGCAAATGAGCTACAGAGGGATTTTTTCATGTGGAGGTTTGTGCAAACTACAGTGTATATGTCAATTACAATGCATGCAATGTAATTGGTCACAACCTGTATGATCGAAATTAACACCCAGCTGATCACCACATGCAGGCAGATTTTCAAATTGGTGAGTGAATCTATAAAAGCTTTACGCCAAACTTGTAGTTCAATGTTCGTACCAAAAAAACCTAAAAAACTATGCTGAGAGATCAACGTTCTTTCACACACACACACACACGTGTTTTACGCACATTCAGACAGTGCCGTGAAACTGCCCATCTTAAGCTATTTAAATAACGTTAGCTATGTGACAATACTTACAAGAAGTCAACTAGTCGCCTTGTCTGTTGAGTCAAACAGTTAATTTTGGACACTGAGACTAAAATTAAGGCATTACCTCCAAGTTTAATTACATTAAGAGATACATTAACAGTGATGAACATTGAACATCTGCAGAGTTTTCACAAAAAGATCCTCACTTCAGTATCATCCTGCTAAATTTCCTTCACTTGCCAAAAGGTAGAGAAATAAAATCTTTGTATTGGCAGAAAAATAGCTCATTAGAACGGCTGATGAGAAACACTAACACGACTAATGAGCCATTTTAAGCGAAAAAAAGGACAAATGGTGAAACCCATCACCATTACCAAGTTATTATGTGTCTGTCCAAATAACAGTTCATTAGTTCATTTTCAAAATACAAAGGTATCTCTTTAATTGAAGGTGACATTGTGTGGTAAATGTTTCCAGATGAAAAAGCTGCCACAGCTACAATTCAAATAAAAAAGTGAAAAAGGAAATTAGACAAAAATGATGATCCTTAGCTGTTTGAGAGAGTGAGGCTGTCTTTTATCTGCGGACTTTGAGAGGGGACGAGTTAGCCAGCACGGGAAGCCGAAGGTTTTGAGCCACAAAGTTCTGCTGCCTTTCCTTGGCTGGACGCAGCACAGAGGAGCTGCCATTGGTGGAGGTTTTACAGAGGGGTGGGGAGTCACGAAAGGTTTTCCCTCTCACCTCGTAGGTCCACTGCATGTCTGCTGCCTGTAACAAGGGGAGTAAGCTGTGAGACATGCAAATCTGATAACTGTACGAATGTGAATGGATCAACATGGGTGAATACTTTTCACCAGTACCGTAGCTCCTTGCATCTGCGACTGGAATCTGTGTTGTGAATTTATGAAATGTTCTCTGGCTTATTTCGTAGTGAACATTGCTATTGCTAACAATTTTAGTTAGTAGGTTATTGTCAAAAACTGGAACTGACGACACCACTTGAAACTGGCAAAGGTAACAACAACACTGTAACTCTTTGTTGGTAAAACGTTATGACCAGTGAAGTAGTGGTAAAAATAAACCTCCAGTCATTCACTATAATTTATCACCATAAAACAGAAACTACAAACAAACAGATAATCAGAGAATAACTTATTTAAATACCTGGATGGTTAGTCTTGCTCTGTGCTTGCTGTACATGGTGGGCGTGAAGGACACGGTGATGAGAGCTCCAGCAGAACCAACGGGAGGTAACATGCCTGAGGCTGGAGTCACTGTGAACTCACTGCTGCTGCCTGGCAGGAACGCTGCAGTGAACGGCTCTGGCCTCCTGGAACCAAACACCTCCAATTTACTATTTGCCAAGAGCTGACCCCATCTTGCAAAAAAAATGCAAACAGAAATGTGCAAAAGGGACTTCGAGTCTCGTTTAGTCCCTGAGTTTAGATTCTTTGCTTTCATAGTTCCTGGAACTATTTTGTCAAAAACACTATTTCCTGCATTTCGACTTGAGAAACAAAAAGCTAAATGTATCCCTCAGCCACAGTTCATTGACACAAAAAGTCCATGTGAGGGGTAGTACCTTCTTATGACTTATCGGACCTACGGCTGTGAAATTTCACCGACTGCTCAAACATAGAAGTGCTACAGCTTGTGTTTCATTCACACAGTGAACAAACTGTGGGTGTCTCTTGTATCAATATTAGGATGTAGGGTGGACATTTCTTGTATACTTTATTGATGTTACAAGAAAAGAGATTGTGTTTGTGTGAACAAGCTGAGAATGATTGTTTGATTGTGGTTTTGTACTAAAGGAGGAATGAATAACCATAAAGTACTTGGAGACAGATGTTCTGGGGTTTTCAGTCTCATTTTCTACCTCTGCATGTCTTCTTTGCAACCATTCATTACATCCATTCAAACTAGGGCTGCATGATATACAAAAAAATCATCCTGTGATTTTTTTGATAGATATTGCGATTGCGATATCATTTACAGTTAGTGGGAATTATCATTTTTGCATCACCATTATTAAAATCATGATGATGTGACATCTGGAGAACAAGATTTGTAGGCCAGGGCATCTTTTCAGAATTACAACTACAGTACTTCAGTACAATTTGCATTTGTAACTTGTTATTGCGATTTCAATAACATTCAAATATTGCACCACAGTAAAGGCAAAAAA